GATTCGAACCTGCCACCTTATGTATGTGGCTGGCGCCTTAGCCAATTGAGCCACAGGCACTGAGCCTGTATTCTTTGTTATCTCCTTTATAATAAACCAGTAAATGTGTTTCCCTGTGTTCTGTGAACTGCTCTAGCAAATTAATGGAACCTAAAGAGGGAGTCTGAAGTGGTGGTTGTAGAAACCCCAGTTTGAAACCAGTTGATCAGAAGTTCTGGAAGCCAGACTTAATGACTGATGTCTGAAATGGAGACAGTTGTGGGACTGCGCCCTCAACCTGTGGGATGTGATACAATCTCTAGGTAGATAGTGTCTGAACTGAATTCAAGACCACCCAGCTGGAGGCACTTCAGTCCCGATTGTTTGGTTGGTGTGTGGGTAAAAGCCCCCCACACATCTGGTCACAGAAATCTTGTGTTGATTGTTGTTGAGTGAGAGAATAAAAAAGCAAATTACTTTGGATTTTTTCTGCTCACAGTAACCAAGACCCTTAAACTGTGGGGAAGAGACCAGAGTCCCATAGATAAACCAAAGCTTAAATAAGGTCAAGAGTAGCACAGATTTCATAGACAAGTCCCTTTGCCAAAAGTGACAAAGTACCCCTATCTGTAAAGAAAAGAGAAACAGAATGTTTGGATGGGGAGGGGATTTATAGAAGTACATACAGGTATTATCAACCCTCTGTATTGGGATCTCATGTAATTAGAAAACAAGAAATATTTAATAAATGTCAAGCACCTATGTGTCTGTCATTATTCTAGGAACTGAGAACATAGCAGTGAATAAAACAGATACAATTCTCTGCTCTCCTTCTAGTGAAGGAGAATGGCCATAATGAAATACATAGTTAAAATAAAAAGTATGTCAGATAGTGATAAGTAGTGTGGACAAAGTCAAATAGGGAAGGAGCAGGGAGGGTGTACCAGAAGGTGGGGTGGGGGGATTGGTCATTCAAGTTTAGATAAGGAGAAGGCCTCATTAAGGAGGTGATATTTGAACATGGAACTGAAGCAGATGAGAGATTGGGCCATGCAGCTTTCTGGGGGAATAGCATTCTAGGTGGATAGACATCTAGTGCCAAGTTCCTGGGGTGGGAGCAAGCCTGGCAGGATCAAAGAACAGCAAGGTGGTCAGAATGGCAGAATAGGAGTGAGAAGGAGAGTAATACGTAGGTCAGAGATGTACTAGGTTCATTTTATGGATGGCCTTGGAGGTGACTGAGAGGAACTTGACTTTGACTCCAGGAGTTATGAGAAATCTTTGGAGGTTTCAAACAAGGGATAATTAAAAACTACTTTAGGTTATATAACAAAATCCTTCCTATTTCTTTATTCAGGAGACAAGGGTAGAATGAGAGAGAATAATTAGGGAAAAACAGAAAGATCAGGCCAATGATGTATTAGCCATGCTCCTTTTCTTTCAGGCTAAATATGTGATTTGTGCTGTTCCTCCTACTCTGGGAATGAAGATTCACTTCAGTCCCCCTCTGCCAATGATGAGGAACCAGCTGATCACGCGTGTGCCTCTGGGTTCTGTTATTAAGTGTATAGTGTACTACAATGAGCCTTTCTGGAGGAAAAAGGGTGAGTGCCTTCCTCATCTAAAGATTTTGAGAAGGTCCAAGAAACTTGGTGCTGGGCAGCACCTGTGGCTCAGTGGGTAGGGCACCTGCCCCATATACCATGGGTGGCAGGTTCGAACCCTCCCCAGTCAAACTGCAACAAAAAATAGCCTGGTATTGTAGCGGGCGCCTGAGGCAAGAGAATCCCCTAAGCCCAGGAGTTGGAGGTTGCTGTGAGCTGTGACGTCATGGCACTCCAATGACGGCGATAAAGTGAGACTCTGTCTCTAAAAGAAAAAAAAAACTTGGTGCTAAAACATGCATTTGCAGCTCGGCGCCTGTGGCTAAAGCGGCTAAGGCACCAGCCACATACACCTAAGGTGGCAGGTTCGAATCCCCAGCCCGGGCCACCAAACAACAATGATAGCTGCAACCAAAAAATGGCCAGGCGTTGTGGGGGGCGCCTGTGGTCCCAGCTACTTGGGAGGCTGAGGCAGGAGACTCGCTTGAGCCCAGGAGTTGGAGGTTGCTGTGAGCTGTGATGCCACGGCACTCTACCCAGGGGGATAGCTTGAGGCTCCGTCTCAAAAAAAAAAAGAAAAAAGCATGCATTTGCATGTAACATATTTATTAGAATGCTGAACATAAAACAGTCCAGATTTTAAAGTACAATTCATTCAAATAAAATATGTTGGTGTAAACCCATGGAATTAATTTTACTTGGATTATAACCAACTATGTGTATAAATCAACATAAATGTTATTTAATCATCCCATAAAATCTTACAAGAAGGGGTGATGAACCTTTTCTAATACAGTATTTACAAACATGGACTTATAAAAATATTCACAAAAGTAAGGATTTAAAAATTTCTGGGCCATCTCTCATTAATGTCAAGATTCCACTATATTAAATTCATTTATTTGTTTATATGTATTCAAAAAGGATGCTACTTGACTGGGTAGAACATTACAGGAATACTTACTAAAGTGCTAGATTCTGCAATGATGGCAATGTTCTAGAGCTGCGCTGTTTAGCCTCAAAAGATATCTATTGAGACTGAGGAACTAGACTTTTAAATTTCAATGAGAGACCATGTCAAAAGAGCCAGTAGCTTGGACTGAGGAGGGCAAAGGGCAGGATGGACTGAAATGAGGAACAAGACTGCAGAAAAGAGGAGCATGAGCTGGAGGCAGATGTGGAAAGTTAGGGGGATTCTTCCTGTGTGAGCATGGAAGAATCCCTCTCTCAGTGACATCTCAGGCCCTTCCTCCTCCCTGCAGATAATCATGTTTAAGACTGTTCCTGGATTGGCACATCAGTTCAACAAGTAATCTACTCTTTGTAAAAGACAGGGCCGTGACCTACCATGAAGAGCCCTGTCGTTTTAGTCTTTGAATCTAATGGCAGCAGCACACTGGTGCTGAGTTGCCTCCTCTTGTAACCCAGGGCACCCATTTTTAGATAGCTGCCTAGTAGCAGTTAGAGAGGATTTATGATAAGGAATGTAGTTTCTTCTTTTAATGACTATGAATGCCTTTATTTGTGGAGAGAATCTATATTTTTTCATTCGTGTCTGCAAACCTTTATCTTAGGCATGCTTTGTGCCAGGCAACTTGTTAGGCACTAGTATCTTAAAAATACCCAAGTTCTTCACTCTCAGTAGGAAGCTGGACCTGACTTGGTCCTTGTCGGTAATGAACCTTGAAAAAGACTTTAAAAAATGATTGTTGAGGGCAGCGCCTGTGGCTCAGTGAGTAGGGCACCAGCTCCATATACCAAGGGTAGCGAGTTCAAACTCAGCCCAGGCCAAACTGCAATAAAAAACTAGCTGGATGTTGTGGCGGGCGCCTGTAGTCCCAGCTACTCCAGAGGCTGAGGCAAGAGAATCGCCTAAACCCAAGAGCTGGAGGTTGCTGTGAGCTGTGACGCCACAGCACTCTACCGAGAGGGTGACAAAGTAAGATTCTGTCTCTAAAAAAAAAAAAAATGATTGTTAAGCCAGGTGCATTGGCTAATGCCTGTAATCCTAGCACTCTGGGAGGCAGAGGCAATTGAGCTCAGGAGTTCGAGACCAGCCTGAGCAAGAGCAAGACCCCATCTCTAAAAAATAGCCAGGCATTGTGGCAGATACCTGTAGTCCCAACTACTTGGGAGGTTGAGGCAAGAGGATCATTTGAGCCCAAGAGTTTAAGGTGGTTGTGAGGTATGACACCATGACATTCTACTGAGGGTGACAAAGTTTCTGTCTCCAAAAACAAAAACAAAAAAAGATTGATGATCATGTGCCAGAACTTACAGTTTGTACCTGTAATCCCAGCACTTTGGGAGGCCAAGATGGAGGAATTGTTTGAGGTCAGGAGTTTGAGACCAGCCTAAGCGAGAGCAAGAGCCCGTCTCTACTAAAAACAGAAAAAGTCAGGTGTCTGTAGTCCCAGCTACTCAAGAGGCTGAGACAATAGGATTGCTCAAACCCAAGAGAGTTTGAGGTTGCTGTAAGCTATGACGCCAGGGCACTCTACCTAGGGTGACAGAGTGAGACTCTGTCTCAAAAAAAAAAAAAAAAAAGATTGTAGACATGAAACAGCTTCACCAAAGCATTTTCAATTTCAGTTATGACTTTAATGTATTTCTTCAACTGACCATTATTGAGCATCTATAATATGCCAGGGACTGTGCTAGGCACTGGGAATTCAAAGGGACTTTTCCTGGTCCAGAAAATCCAGACTCAGAAGGAATTGCCCTGCAAACTGGTAATTGTATGACTATGTATTGAGTTCTAGGCTATTATAAAAACACAAAGGAGACCTCTAAAACTTACATCTAATATGATTCCTGTTTCACTGATAAACGATTCAATAATACTTATTTGAAGGATTCTATAATGGAATCTAAAGAAACTGACTCTTCTAACAGGGTCTTTGCTTTGAATCAGACTGAAACTGTCAATGTCACTGCTAAATACACTGTAATTAACTGGTAATGCAAAAACTTAGGTGATACTATGTATGAGCTAACAAAATAGAAGGAGTGAATTTTGCAGCCCCAAACAGCTTAGCACGGCAACTAGCACAAATCAGGCACACAGGGAAGCAATCACTCAAGAGGTTTGTTTATCTGCTTTATTTTGTTTTACAAGCTCTGTATAGCTTGAGTTACTAAAGAGAAAGTAAATTTTATATTTTGATATGGACAGCTTTAGCCAATTCTTGATTGTTTTTCCCCACTCTCAGCATCATGTGAAACATTGCTTTTATTTTTAATTAATTAATTTATTTCTTTGAGACAGAGCCTCAAGCTGTCACCCTGATTAGAGTGATGTGGCATCACAGCTCACAGTAACCTCCAGCTCCTGGGCTTAAGTGATTCTCTTGCCTGAGCCTCCCAATTAGCTGAGACTACAGGTGCCCTCCACAACGTCTGGCTAATTTTTGGTTGTAGTTGTCATTGTTGTTTGGCAGGCCTGGGCTGGATTCAAACCCACTAGCTCTGGTGTATGTGGCTGGCACCTCAGCCACTTGAGCTACAGGCGCCAAGCCCTTATTTTATTTTTTATTGTATATATTTAAGACATACATCATGATGTTTTGATATGCATATACATAGTGAAATAATTTGTAGGGCAACGCCTGTGGCTCAGTGAGTAGGGCACTGACCCCATATACTGAGGGTGGCAGGTTCAAACCCGGCCCCGCCCAAACTGCAACAAAAAAATAGCTGGGCATTGTGGCAGGCGCCTGCAGTCCCAGCTATTTAGGAGGCTGAGGCAGGAGAATTGCTTAAGCCCAGGAGTTGGAGGTTGCTGTGAGCTGTGATATTATGGCACTCTATCCAGGGCAATAAAGTGAGACTATCTCTACAAAAAAAAAAAAAAAAAAAGAAAGAAAGAAAGAAATAATTTGTAGTCAAGCAGATTAATATGTCTGTCTCCTCACATGGTGACCTTCTGCGGTCACCGGAACACCTGACTTTTTCTGGATTGATTATCTCAGGAAGCACTTCCCAGTCTCTTTAGTCTCTTGATGTGTAATGTCTTTGTAAATTTTCAAGGAAGGGCCCCCTCTTCTTTGCCGCCTTCCACCAAGGCATCCTAAATCCAAACATCCTTACTATCAGTGTCCCCCGCCAGAGTCCCCCAGCCCTTCAGCCCAGCCCACTTCTGTAAACGGTAGCCTCTTTGCTTTTCATCATCTTTGAACTATTTTCACCATTCTTGAAATCTTTAATTAATAATCTATTCACATTTTCAATGACAGGAACAACACCTACTTTTTAAAAAATTGCAGAAGTAAACTTCCTGACCATAAAACTTCTAAAAAATAAAAATGTATGAAAAATGCTCCTCTCCCATTGTCTCCCTTATTCTTCTCAGTAAGGCACAGAGGCACGTGTCTGTAGTCCCAGCTACTCACACATCCTTGCCAGCTAACAATATTTGACATTTTTTTGCCAATCAGGGAGGGGAAATTATCTAATTTATCTATAATTTATAATGTTTATCATTAATAAGACTTAGGGACTAGATTAACTCATTTTGGAAGTCTTTTTTGTCCTTTGCTTATTAAAAAAATATTTTCTACTTATGTTGCAAATACTTTCTTCCAGTAAATCATTTTTTAAAATTTGTTTATTATGGGTTCCCCTTACTGAATTCTCATACACATGGGGCTTTTCTACTGTTCTTTGTTACAAAGATCCAGGCAGATTTTGCACCTATGTACACAAAAAATATAAACGTAAACTACCACTATATGCATTTATTCCCAATTTATACACATATGCCTGTGAAAATGTATTGTCATAACTATAAAACAAAATAAACATTTTTTAAAATCTCAAATTGAGGCTCAGTGCCTGTACCACAGTGGTTATGGTGCCAGCCACATACACCAAAGTTGGTGGGTTCAACCCCGGCCTGGGCCAGCTAGCCAACAATGATGACTGCAACAAAAAATAGCTGGGTATTGTGATGGGCACCTGTAGTCTCAGCGACTTGGGAGGCTGAGGCAAGATAATCACTT